GTTCTATGATTGCGTTAGGGTGAGAGACAGCGAGGGCGAAGACAGCAAGGGGTCATTATAGCTACTGTATCATTTCTGAAAGTGGCCAATCATCTTATTCATCTATTTTTGCGCTAATGAAAACGACCACTGGTAATTGGCAGGCACATCGAATGGGGAAGTTCACTTCTAGAAATGCAGGCTGTTATTATTCAACTCTTTTCCCAGTCCACATCAAGTGCAAATTGTCAGTCCGGAGCGCCGTCCGCATCGAATGCAAATTGTTAGTCTATTTTGGGGCATGTGGTGTTAGAGGCGAGGTGGCTAATCAATTTCTGTGTTTCATTAATTTCTTCATTTCGGTCTCTTTCATTGCACCTGAGCTGTAAGCCCTCACTGAATGTGCTCTTGGTAGCATCATGTGTGTCGAGATTCATCAGGAAGCATCCAAAGATATTGTGAAATTATCCATGGATTTTAGGAGTGACCTCTCAAACGTCCCCAACTGCCGTCAGCTAAGCCTGTGGCCTTTCACAACCAAAGGTCTTTTCCTCATTACCTGCATGTCTGTGATGCAGCATTTTCTCAAGAAGAAACAGCAGCAGGTTTCAAAGTGATTAGCAGTACGAGCAACCCCTGCTTTTTAAAGGTTCAGAGAGCTTAATTCTCTCTAGCATGGCTAATGTCACCCGCTGTGTGAATGTCAAGGTAATGAGCAGCAGCAGCTCTGTTCAGAGATTCTCATCAAGACAGAAATGAGAAACTTTCTCCGCCTTTTTCTTTTTGTCAATCTGCAAAAAAGCTAAGCTTGCTAATAACGATTGAAGTCCAGTTTGCATTCTGCATATGCGATCAGGCTAACACGCCCTTGCTATCTAGCCATGTTAGCATTTTTTTGGGTAAAGAATCCCTTTAATCAACATCTTTTTTTTTTTTGCAGCAACAGCCAGTTTTTGGACACAGTGAATAGGCATACTGATGAAGCCATACTTCTATCCCATCATGCTTGCTAGCTTATGTATTATTTTTGTCTTTCTTAGTGCATGACACCGATGAACTAGTGCTGACTCATTATCTCCCTTGTTTAGACAGGCGTTGCTTTTCTTTTGGTGAATGCTCAAGGTTTTGCCCTGAAGTTCAAAACTAATACCTCCATTTTTTTATGTTCTAAAGCTCATTCTATGGACCAGCGATTACGGTTTCATCTCTTGCTGACTTTATTGACACGTAAGGATTTGCAACAACGCGTGAACAATGGGAAAATGACACAGTAGCCCGCCACCATCACGCTGCAGTCCCAGACAGAAACAAATGAATACAGATTCATTTTAGATCAAACACATAAAGTAAAAAGACAAAGATATCATAAGACTAAGCTAGTGTTATATATGCCACTGCTAGATCATAGTCACTTTGCTAGCAGTTAAATTTTTTTTGTGGTTGTGACTTTTGTGGGGGAAAATGATAAGGCGAAATCTGAGAATGACAGTAAACATCCTGTGAAATTCTCTGTCTCAATGCTGACACTTCTCATAAAGCTCAGAAATACATGTCAGTGCAGTTTTCATAAAATGCAATAAAGTAGACAGATATTTTAAACGGGACAGATGTGGAGATGTGTGTGTGCTGTTTATCAGAAATATTATTCCAGAAAACAGTCTGTAATACCCTCTCTCTCTCTCTCTCTCTCTCTCTCTCTCTGTCATTCTTTCTCAACTTTTAACTGCCATTTTATTTCTAATTAAAAGCATTGCAAACAACAGTGTTAACAACTGACCTGCTTCCTGCACTGGGATCAGCAACACATCATCACAGATCAGCAACATGTAATAGCTGTTAGATATTAACTATTACCTTGTGTTTGCCTGTAGGCCCAAATCTGGCAAAAAAAAAATAAAAATCATGATGCTTGCCATATTTCACAGACAATAGAACAGCTTTTCTATCAGCTTAGTAGAGGTGCAAATCTGTGAACCAGGGCTGAGAAACAAAATAAAAAAAATAATCAGTCGGTACACTCCAAGCAGTAGAAATGTTTTGCAATTTCCATTCCTGCATTCCAACATGGTGGTAAAGTGGTAAGGGTTAGAACAAAGATTTTTAAAAAATGGTTAATTCTGTTCCTTTTACATAGACCGTATGTAGGCCTAATATGATAAAATAGTAGGTTTGGAAAGCAGCCGTGTTCTTATTAAGGACACACACACACACAAAGGTTGTTATAACCAATGTTGTTCCAATGTTGTTCCAAAAGGTTGTTATAACCAAAATGCAATGTTCCATGTTGTCAATATAGTTAGAAAATTCCTCATTTAAAATGCCCACAGCTATTCTTAGCTAGCGGAACTGTTTTTCTCTCTTATTAGTATCTGATCTAATTTATACTTTAACATAATGCAGGTGTAGGCTGAGGAAAGGTTTATATTAATTTTATATTGTTTCCTTATCCTTTAGCTGAAACCATGTAGCTCAGCAATGCAATGTTTCCTGAGCTGAAGCATTTCCTACAATCGTGACCTTAATCCCACAATGAGGCCTGGAAAGTACCTGCTAATTGTCACGGTCGATTTCCCCCTCTCAGGTATGTGGTGTGTAGCACAGCGCTTAAGTTCACTTCATGTGTTTGTTATGCCATGCATTTTTGTTTCTGATCTAGTCCTGTCTCACCCTGTCCTGTCATTAGTCGATTACTCTAATGTGTTCACCTGTTCTGTGTTAAGCCTTTGATTGATTAGTTTTTCTGTTTATGCCCTGTTGTTTCTTTTCTTTTTTTTTCTGCTTCATTTATTGTTGTTAACTCCAAGCCTTGTTTTCTAATTTTCTGCATTTCTTAGATTTAACCCTCACCTGTTTTCTTCCTTTTTCTCTTACGGATATTCCTTTTTTGATGCTTCTTGTCTCTTGTTTGACCTTTGCTATGAACTACAACTGCGTACTGTATTGCCTTTAATAAATACCATGCTGTGTTTACTCACTTGTGTCTTGTACAGTACACCAAGACCTTGCAATTCACTAACAATCTTGTAACATAATTGAAGTCACAAACCTGCTAAAGGGCAACAAAGCATTTTATGTTCCAGGAAATATGGTATAATTTTGTGGGAAACAACTATTTGTCTCATTTTTTATAGTCCTAGTCCATGGGTAGTACAAACAGATGGGCCTATAGAGTTAGAGAGAGACTTTAACAGAGGTTCTGGAAGTAGTGGTATGGTGCCTGGAGTGCATCTACCCATCAGTCACAGTAGGGTGGCAGGTCAGTGGCTGAAGGTGTGTCATTAGCCCCCTGCTGGCCGCCTCCTGGTCCTCCCATTCATCTTCATTAAAGAGATGTTGACTAGGTCTTACTGAGCAGATGGTCATTAACGTGCCCACTCTGGCCAGGGGACGCTACCTGGAGGTCACGCGTCACCCCGAGAACGCTGCAGTACCAAGGCATATCACCGCTGGAATGCAAGTGGACCTCACACACATGCACCATTCTGACCTGATGCCAAAATAAATCGTCATTTTTACAAACCTTTGGGCAGATGATTTAAATTGAGGGCTGTTGATTGCTTCAGATATACTGGAAATGAGGTCATTGACTAATTATTGATTTGCAGCATGTGCACACTGGGATATCTATCAGATATGTACATTGCATGACATACTGCACAGACATTCAACAGCCGGCCGGGTTTGTGCCTAAAGGTTTAGCATTTAAGTACATCTGGGCTTGTACCCAAGAAGCTGTTTAGCAGGTAAATGAGCCAGACTGTTGTCTAGACCCATTTAAAACCATATAAGGACCTTACTGTTTAGAGCAGACATAAGATCTCTGGTACTTTACAGTATATTCCTATGCAAATGTTTATAATTATCTAAAGTTTCTCTTAGCAATAGTTGCATATACTGTATCCTATCAATGCATAGGATGCAATTAAAACACATAAAAAGGAAAAAGACCTAACATCTAAGTAACTAAATCATAATTACAGGCTAGCTAATCAGGTGAGTCACATTAGGTTGAGTGCTAATTAGCAGTCTGTACTAGCTATCTGACAATCAATTTGCAAATTAGGGAATACAAGGCAACTCTTGCAAAATGATCTAAGCTGTCAGTGTTTAATAAAAAGAAAAAAAGAAAAAAGCCAGATATGGACAAAGTACATAGAAAAACACAGAAGAGATGACAGGATTAGATGGACACTTAACAAGATAGGCTATAATTTTGTCATTTTTTAACTCTGAAATAATCATGATATTGTATCGGGATCTCAGTGACTCAGCCCTAATGAAAAGGGTTCATTCTCAAAGCAGAAATTTATGGCAGGAATTCGGTTCAGAAACTACTTATATGCACAACGTATAACCTGGAGCAAAGAGCACAAAACCTGCATTGAAATCTTTCACTCTTTGACTTACAGTGTCTGCTGTCAGACATGTTGTTTCCCTATTTCAATATGATAATGCCTCTGTAGTGTATGCACCGCTAAACAGATTCAAGCGTGGTTTCATGAATGCTAAGATGAAGTCAAACACATTTCATGACCTTTCAAGGGTACACAGAAGATTTTCACTTCTTTTATCCAACAAATAACAAGATGGGAACAGCATGTTTAGCATTTTACTCATTCGGTAGGCGATAAAATAGTGGCGTTTCCTTAGGATTGGAAGCTTTAGCATTGATCCATTTGATGCTAGCTGGTGGGAATTACAGTGGTCTTCACCACACATGTCGAGCTATTCATAGATCCTGTTTACTGGCTGAAATCACCACCATGGCTAACTACATGAACTACATGCTCACAATAATATCCACGTGGTATTGCACAGGCATTATGCTTATGTGCCAGATTTATTTAAGCTAGCTAACTAGCTATTACATAGGCTATCTAGAGTTGAAATAAAGCGTTATCATTGGACTACATTAGCTAACCCTTCTGAAAAATCTGGCTTGTTTTGACCAGCTAGCAGATGCCAAAACACAGGCTGAGCTAGTCAAGCTGCAAGAAAGTAAACAACACACCCTGTGTTTGTCAGTGGTAGCTCAGTGGTTAAGGCATTCTGCTACTGTTTGGAAGGTTGTGAGTTCAAATCCCAGTACTGCTAAAGGGCCCTTTAGCAATGCCTTTAACCTTCAACTGCTCAGTTGTATAAATGTCCTTTCACTTGTGTAAGTTGCTCTGGATAAAGGCATCTGCCAAATGCTATAAATGTGTTCTGGTAGCTTGTCAGCCTGACCTACACTTTTATCAGGGAAATATAAATAGATAATAACACCATAAAATATGATATGATATGGAAGATGGCTAGCGTTATGCAAAGTCTGTCACTGAAGTAGCTAAACTTAAACAACTAGATAACGCTAGCTAGGACATGAGTGATTATCATGCTGGGAAAAAAAAACTTTACTAATTACTTTACTGTTGTGTAACTTCTTTAAAAACAACCTGTCTATGAGGAAACTTTTTTCCTTTGTACCAGGATTTACTCCCCGCCAAAGATACTACCATTTTGTGTACCATTTTGGCCAGCTCAGCCTTTCTTTTAACAGCTGGTGGCAAAGATATTTTTAAATAGCAAAATTTTTCAATCTGTTTAATTATTTTTATGTAGAGCTTCTGCCAGACACGTCCCTGTGAATAAGTCGTGACTATAGAAACGCTAGTGTATTAGAATGAGCGCTTTAGTATAAACCTGTGACTTTCATTACAGCCAGCACTGCTGTCAGAGCTGCTGTTATAGAAAATGAATCAATACCTCCTGACCAATCAGAATCGAGAACTCAGCAGCACTGTGGTGTAAAACCATTTCACACATTACACACAATTTGATACAATGTGCCTTGGTTTTCTTTCTACATTATGTAGTGTACTGTGCTTTCATTTGGTTACTGTTGTCTTCTAGAATATTGGAAATATATGAAAAAAAACCCCTTCTACCTGTCTTTTTTTTTTGCTGACGTGTAAAAATTTCACCATATTACTGTAATCCAGGGGATGAGTGATAGAAGCAGACTTTATATAACTTATTGGAAGTGCACTGAGTCTGTCTAGACTTTGTCCTTCCGCAGAAGGATTTCATAATGCTCTTATCTCTGATCTCGAACACTTTCCTTCTCTTCTCCCTCTCACTTTTTGATGGGCTTGTGTGTGTGACAGGTGCGTGAGGGCAGCTGAAAGGGCAGGAACTGAATTAAGGCATGATGAGTGGCCCTAAGGCTGCTTCGGTTCATGGGAGTACATTGTTCACACAGGGCGAGGGCGATGCTTGTAGAGTAATGACTAAATGAAGCTATTTTTTGGCACCTCACTCATCAACTCTGGATTTTCCTGAAAGACTAATTGTTTTTTCGCCCCGTTTGACCTGACCTGAGTCGTCTCAGAGGTCACCTTTTTGTGCTACTAATTCACATCTCACCTACAGTGATTTATGTTTTCCCTTCAATTACATCAAGGACATCAACATTGTATCTTGACATGAAGGAGAACAATGCTGACGGATGGAATGAATTCAGAATACACTCACCATCACCAAAATCGGGCAGATGAAGATTAGAAAAGCATTACCTGATCTTTTTCCAGCGTTCAGTTGTCTGGTTTTGGTGATCCTGCACCCTCTGTAGCCTCAGATTCCTGGAACCCGATGTGGTCCTCCACCTCAAGGGTCGACATGTTGCGCATTCTGATACGCTTTTCTGATTACCGCAGTTATAAAGAGTGGTTATTTGAGTTACTGTAGCCTTCAAACCAGTCTGGCCATTCTCCTCTGACCTCTCTCATTAAAAAGGCATTTCTGCCCTCAAAACTGCTGGACGCTGGATGTTTTTTTTTTTTTGTTTTTTTGTTTTTGTTTATTTGCACTATTCTGTGTGAGACTATTGTGCATGAATATCTCCAGCAACACTCAAACCAGTCCATGTTTTCCCCATTCTGATGCTTGATGTGAACATTGACTGAAGCTCTTGACCTGCATGGTTTTATGCACTGTGCTTCTGGCTGATTTGTTAAATTAACGAATGTGCAAGTGCACAGGCATTCCTAATGAAGTGGCCAGTGAGTGTATGTCAAAATGTTTGTGGAGAGCTGAGCCTCAATCATTCTTGCTAATCACTACAAATGTTGCAAGTGCTTAAAAGCTTCTGGAAGGTTCCCTTTCTGTTTTGCTTTCTTCCTTTGATTTAATCATAAGTCGGTGGAGACTGAGGAGCCCTTGCTGTCAGCTTTCCATCTTAATCAGCTATTTTAGTTTACAGCAGATGGAAGTCTGTCCTCTGTACTTTCTCTGCATTAGCCCGCATGAGTGACGCTTAAATCCCAGAGAAGCTGACAGACTCTTGAGGTCAGCGCAAGGCGAGCTCAGCTTGTTAAGGCTTCGCAAAGTGCTGGGTGTCAGTGTTCTCACTGCAGGGGAGGCCACGAGGCTGATGTGGTTTTCGCTCGTTGTTCTGCGTAATGTCGCACTGATGGACGTGACACTTGTGAAGTCCTTTGCTTTTCAGAATTGATGAGGCTCGACAAGACAGATCAAAGTCACTGTTCTTCTGGCTATGTAGGACTGTTTGAAGAACATGCCTGGCAACTAATGTAAGATCACAGTGACAACCAAGATCTGGCAAGTTCAGGGACATGAACATGGTGACACGGCTTGTTTACATCCAGTTATAAGGTACATAATAAAAAAAAAAGGGTGATTTTGTAAATTAGTCAAAGGTGAACATATTCAGGGTTGTGTTTCGACCTGGTGTTTTCACAATCATTGGTGTGAACAGTGATGTAACTTGCACTGGGGACATGTTCTCACCATTCTAATATGCCTAGTTTTGTTCCCACCAGCTTGTGAAAATGTAGTGTGATGAAAATTATTTTATATAATACCTCACATCTGAAACTGATTCACACTTTTTTTTTAATAAAAATATCACTTCCCGGTGGTGCATTTACTAAATATGAATGAATCACCAATGTAGCAGCTGTACTAAAAACTCCTCTACAAGTCAATTAAATTTTAGTTGTTAACAACAGACACGGTCACAAAGCAGCTTTACAGAAATCTCAGTGTACTGCATTTAGATCCCTACTGCGCAAGTCAGAGGCAACAGAGGCAAGGAACACTGCTTGAAATGATATTAGGAAGAAACTTTGAAATGATTCAAAAGGGAACCCATCTTCTTCTGGGTGACACTGGATAATGGGATTGTAAATCATTGCTCTTCTACAACTGTGTGCAATAAAGTCAAACAGTTAGTCAAAGGTAAGATTTTATAGGAAGTGAAAATCTTTAGGGTGTCCATATGGGACCATCCACAGCAGAAGGAGGTGAGGTACAAGTGGAGAAAGCTCCAGGCAGAGGCGATAAAAACCTTCGCATCCAGATGCCTATAAATGCACACACCGCAAGTGAGTTTCTATCAGTTTTCCTTTCTTTTGAACCAGGATGTTTGCGTCACACATAGGGATATGATCATAATATTGTATGAATTTATTTCTGTCAAACTAGAATCGTATTGTTGCACATGTGAAAATGTAGTAAGGCTAGGTGTGTGTATATGTGTGTGTGTGTGTGTGTGTGTGTGTGTATATATATATATATATATATATATATATATATATATATATATATATATATATATATATATATATATATATATGTAGAGGTGATGTAAACCAAACTGACTACATTTTAAAAAATTTCCAAAGCATCCATCATTTTGGGATTGCCTTAAGTGTTTAAAGGAGCTGGTGTGGATTTAAAATGCTGGCTGAAATGGACTGGTATCCTTTCAATGAGATGGACTTACAGATGACTGAGAACCCTTCAGAAATACTTTCTGTTCAAATTGGCCTGAGGTCATTGATCACCCATAGTTGTTTTCTTTTTTTTCCCCTCTCTCTTCTCATTTTTTTTTTTAACCCTGTCATCCTTTCCCCAGTAAAGAAAGTTATAGCTGTGGGTATGAACATTGGTAATAACATAGTGTTTTCCACCGACATGGTGTCAGTGGAGATGTTTTCGTTGCAAAGAAATGCAGTTTGGCCAGAAAATATTTTTCAGCCCTGGGACATTGCTTATCTTGAACCAAGGAGCTCATGGCATTAGGATCTGATGGGGCAAGTTATGTTGGTAGGTTTTCACTTGACTTCATATGCCTTGAAAAAAGAAAAAAAAAAAAAAAAGACACAAAAGCACTTTCTGTATGTTAAATAGTTATATTGGCTAAAAGCTACATAATAAAATGGCTAACTCACATTTTTCCCCATTGCACACTCATACTGGGTTTATTGGTAAGGGTTTAAAGCAGTATTTTACAATGTTTCTTGCCTGATAAATCATTCAGCATTGCCATCTTGGGGGAAAACAGGGAAAGATGTTCCAGGCCTGGTTTTGGGTGAAGGCTCAGTGGATAAGATTCTCATATTATACAAACATTGGAATGTAGTAGATTGTGAAATGTATAAAAATATAACAGCATATTTTGAAATATATTGTGTGTGACATATTTTGATTATTAACACACACACCCCACATTTCCAATTTGTCTTTTATTCGTTTTTAATAGCATTTTCACTGTTATTTCCGTCACGTGTCTACTGAACATCAAGTAGCAGTGCTCCGCCTTTTCCTCGCTAACACCACTTCAGAAACATGCACTTATTCTAATGTGTTCTGGGTGACTCCATGTCCCAGAGCTAAAATAAGAACATTTGCAGTGAAATTCAAAAAAGCAATCAAATTTTCTGACTCGGTAAGCACGGCCGTGCTAGCTCGGGGTCATCCGCCGCCTGCCGCTCCTGCTTCCACAGGCATTTCGTGCTCACCCTCAGGCTTACCTGGGTAATTAACTTTTTTCCCCCTCCCAGCCTTTGAATCACATGTTTCCCGATATGTGTGCTCAATATCCCCTATGGAGCTTCAGCAGGCCTTAAAGACGCCTCCTATCCCCAAGTTGCCTTCTTCTACTCCTGCGGCAAAATGAGTCTTTTATCGTCAGGCCTGATTAACAAGACAGGATTTTTGATTAGGAGATGGCATTTGTGATTCACGGCTTATGATTTTTCATTCAAGGGCATTAAAGAAACAAACAAGAGTATGAAATGTTATTCGTTTGCCA